CTCAGCTTCCCAAGTAGCTGGAATTAGAGGTGGGTACCACCAAGCCCAGGTAATTTTTTGTATTTTAGTAGAGATGGGGTTTCACCATGTTGCCCCCAGGATGGTCTCAAACTCTTGAGCTCAGGCAATCCACCTGCCTTGGCCTGCCAAAGTGCTGAGGCAGGCAGATTGCCTGAGCTCAAGAGTTTGAGACCATTAGCCACCATACCTGCCCCAAATAATTTTTTAATGGAAAAAAAAAAAAAAAAGCTCATTCACAATTAGTGAGAAAAAGGCCAACATTTATTGAACACTTACTATTGCCAGGTGCTGTTTTAAGTGCTTAACATACATTAACTTATTTAATTCTCAAAACAGCTCCATGTAATAGGTACTATCATTACCCCCATTTTACAGGTAAAGAGGCAGGCACAAAGAAGTTAAATTCTTTTCCAAGGTTGCTAGCTATTGGTAGAGCCAGAATTTGGTCTCTAGCAGACTGGCTCCCAAGAGTGGAATAATATAGATTGTTAATGGTGGTTGTATCTTAGGAGGTAGAATTAAATGAGATTTTGTTGTTGTTATTTATTTCTGTAAGGTTTGCCTTTTTAAAGACAATAAATGCTACCTTTTGGGCATACACAAAAATTAAAAAGAATAAAGAAGTTAAAATGCTACCCCGTTCACTGGCTGGCCATAAAATAATTTTAGTCAAGAGTAGTGAGGCACCAACTAATGGCTCACACCTGTAATCCCAGCACTTTGGGAGGCAGAGATGGGAGGATCACTTGATCCCAGGAGTTGAAGACCAGCCCTGGCAACATAGTAATACCCCATCTTTACAAAACAAAAAATAGCTGGGCATGGTGGCGTACAGGAGGCTGAGGTGGAAGGATTGCTTGAGCCTAAGAGGTTGAGGCTGCAGTAAGCCGTGGCTGTGCCACTGCACTCCAGCCTGGCCAACAAAATGAGACCCTGTCTCACACACACACAAGCACTTTTCAAAAAAAAAATAAAGAAAGAAAGAAGAAAAATAGTACTCCTTTTTGCCAGACTTACTTTTATTTTCTCTTCACAGAATGTCTCTAGAAGCATTTTAGGGGATTCAAAGAAGTCTGGGAGTTGGGGGCTCTTAGAGTTTGATGCTTTATTGACTGCTATAAGTTTCATAGAAAAAAAACAACTCAACCACATGGCTGAATTTCCACAGTTGGTTGGAGCCTTTACTGTTCCTCTTTGAATCATTCAGGGCCTCTAGCAGAGGGGAGGCAGCCATGCATGAGTGCTCCTTATAGGAATCAAGACTATGAACAGAGCCTATCAAAGATACTTCTATCCCACTAAAAGGACAATTGAAGGTAAGCCCAAGGTGGCTTCAAGGCCTGCTAAGATAATGACCAAGAAGGCAAAGCAAGCCAAGCCAGCACCAGACACCATTTCTCTGACTTTAATGTGCACCTGACTCCCAGACTCTCAGATGCTGCGAGACTAGCTTTTGTTTTTGTATTTTTTAAATATTTTGCCTGATAAAAGTAAAACATGGAGGCCAGGGACAGTGGCTCACACCTATAATCCCAGCAGTTTGGGAGGCTGAGGTAGGAGGATCCCTAGAAGCCAGAAATTCAAAACCAGCCTGGGCAACACAGGGAGACCCCATCTCTTGAAAAAAAAAAAGAAAGAAAGAAAGAAAGAAAAAAAAGGAAAACATGATTATTGAAAATAAAACTCAGTAATAACATCACTACCCTGAGATAACCAGTTTTGATATTTTAGTACAGTTTCTTCTAGTCTTTTTAAAAAGTTCATATATACAGTATGTTAAATAAATATGGCTGGGTGCAGTGGCTCACGCCTGTAATACCAGCACTTTGGGAGGCTGTGGAGGGCAGATCACCTGAGGTGGGGAGTTCAAGACCAGGCTGACCAACATGGAGAAAGCCCATCTCTACTAAAAATACAAAAAATTAGCCGGATGTGGTGGCGCATGTCTGTAATCTCAGCTAATCAGGAGGTTGAGGTAGGAAAATCGCTTGAACCCGGGAGGTGGAGGTTGTGTGAGCTGAGATCGTGTCATTGCACTCCAGCCTGGGTAACAAGAGCAAAACTCCATCTCAAAAACAAACAAACAAAAAAATAAATATATACCTATCTATTTCAAAATTTGGACAACACTATACATATAATTTGTATCTTTTTTCCCACTTAATGTTATATTGTAAACATTTTCTCTGACAAAAGATTCTTTGAAAAGTAAGTTTTAGTGGCAACATAATACCTCAGCACAAACATCTTTATTTGACTAGCTCAGGGTCTCTTTACCAGATCCAGAGATGGCAGAACAAATTCAGGAGTTCATTTCTGCCTTTCCTATAAACTGCAGGAGAGAGACTGCAGGGCACCACTAGGGGTCAGTGCAGAGCCATTATCACAGGAGCCTTTACTGTGTCTTAACACTAAGCATGCCTTGATGTAAGAGAATTGGTTATGGAACAATCCATATTAACAAATTATATCTACTAGATTAAAGGAGATCTATTCACATGACTAGCCAAGTTCCTGTCAAGAACCGACTCCCTTAGTACAGATTTCTCAGATTATAAATGATCAGATTCCTCCAAATTAATTTCCAAACAGCTATTTTATAAATCAAAGTGTATCAGTGTAAGATGTGGTATTATACCTGTTCTTACCTGCTTGGTATGAGATCATTTGTGCATAAAATACTTGCCCAAAGTATTTTATAGGTTTGTTGGTAAAATCAAATAGATAACATTTGAAAGTATCTTATAAACTGTGAAGTCTGATATAAACATAAAGTTGCTTTTTTTTTTTTTTCTGAGACAGAGCCTTGCTCTGTCACCCAGGCTAGAGTGCAGTGGCACAATCTCAGGTCACTGCAACCTCTGCCTCCTGGTTCAAATGATTCTCCTGCCTCAGCCTCCTGAGCAGCTGGGATTACAGGCATGTGCCACCAGGCCCGGCTAATTTTTATATTTAGTAGAGATGGGGTTTCGCCATGTTGGTCAGGATAGTCTCGAACTCCTGACCTTGCAATCCACCCACCTCAGCCTCACAAAGTGCTGGGATTACAGGCGTAAGCCACTGTGTCCAGCCAACTTGCTCTTTTTTAATGATAAGCAATTCAGATATTTGGGCAAGTTTTTTCCTATAAAAACTAAAGAATCTCAGGCAGTGTAATGATTATGAAATGAGGTTCATATATGGCGTGACCATGAATGATTTCACTGGTTTTCTTCCTCGTAGCCCTTGCTTTCCAGCTGTTGACATCAATGTGGAATTAGTAATGTTTTTCTTAGAAGCTGAAGTTGTCATTTACAGGAAATTTAGTTTCAGTTCTTTGCCATCCTTATTTACCTGAGGCTCCTTCAGGAAAATACCTGAACTCAGAATTAGCTTAAATAACTTATAAATAAGTGTCTAACAGGGATCAGAAAGCCACTCCAGGGCTGACATGCTTGACAGGCTCTGGAGCAGGAGGTAGGCATTCCTGACCCTTCTAAACCCAGAAGTGACTTAGGAGCAAAAGGTACCAAGGGCCGTATTCCCCCCGGGCCAGGCTTCTTATTCAGCCTTTCACTCTTCTTTCTGTTCGAGTTTCCTCTTTAGTTCTCAGTGCCACATCATTTGGCATCAGAGATGAAAAGGATCTAGGGCTGGTTGTTCTGAGAACCAAGAAGCTTTCAAACCAGCTTGTGGTAGCCCTTCTTGAGAGCAGCCCAATCTTCTCACTGGTTCACTCTGACCAATCTCAGAATGCACAGAGACCCAGGCAAAGCAGGCCCTGGAAAGTCCCTTATCTTATTTATTTATTTATTTATTTTGAGAGACAGAGGCAGGTACAGTGGCTCATGCCTGTAATTCCAGCACTTTGGGAGGCCAAGGTGGGCGGATCACCTGAGGCTAGGAGTTCAAGACCAGCCTGGCCAACATGGCAAAACTCTGTCTCTGCTAAAGATTCAAAAATTAGCCAGGCATGGTGGTAATCCCAGCTACTTGGGAGGCTAAGGCAGGAGAATCGCCTGAACCTGGGAGGTGGAGATTGCAGTGAGCCAAGATCATGCTACTGCACTCCAGGCTGGGTGACAGAGCAAGACTGTCTCCAAAAAAAAAAAAAAGAACACACGCAGTCAGGCATGGTGGCTCATGCCTGCAATCCCAGTACTTTGGGAGGCTGAGTGGGCAGATCGCTTGAGCTCAGGAGCACCAACCTGGACAACATAGTGAAACCCATCTCTATAAAAAATATATATATTAGGCATGCACCTGTAGTCCTAGTTACTTGGGAGGCTGAGGTGGAAGGACTACTTGAGTCCAGGAAGTCAAGGCTGCAGTGAGCCGAGATTGTGCTACTGTACTCCAGCCTGGGCCACAGAGTGATACCCTGACTCAAAAAAAAAGACAGGGTTCTCACTCTGTCACCAGGCTAGAATGCAGTGGTGCAATCACAGCTCACTGTAGCCTCAAACTCCTGGGCTCAAGTGATCCCCCCGCCTCAGCCTCTGGAGTAGATGGGATTATAGGTGTGAGCCACTGCCAAGTCCCTTATCATTGGCACTCGATTTCCTACTGGGCTAGAACCTTAAGCTGTTCGGTGAAAGAAGGGCACAGGAGTCACACAAAGAGAGCAACAGATGCTTGCACAGCAGCTCACACTGCCCTGAGGCAGCTTCAATAAAGAGCAGTCCTGTGTTAAGGTCCTACCTTCTAGAGCAGGATCTAACAAAGGGCACCAATTGAACACCTTGTGTCTAGAGAGTATAGTTCTTGGTACATTGCTAGTGTTCCAGATATACTAGTTGTATGAATGAATGACAGGTTTAGTCCATAAGACCAGGATTAGACCATGGAGTGCCTGAATACAACTACATTTCTATGGCCAATCAGAAAAACAGTCTTGGGACTGTAGTAGTAGAGCTAAGCCTAGGGACTTGAAAGTTAGTCCAGAGGATCCTAACAGCTGGACACAAACTCAGGAAAACTCAAGAGCCATACAACAGCAATGCAGCAACCAATAATCACTGTTATTAAGGGCAGTTACTAGTACAGAGGGCCTCAGGGCACTTCCAATCCCCACAGAGGCCAACTACCCAACATCAGAGTCTGACCAGCTGTGTGTTCCTGCCCTGCATCCAAGAAGGTGTCGGGATACTCATCCAGATGGCTCTGAGACATCAGCAGAGCTGACAAAGAGGCCCCATAAGTGAGATTCCCTTGGCCTCAAGGTTGTTAAGTCCTGGCTTTAGGCCTTCTGGCCTGCTGAGCTTCCCACCGGCTTTACTCTCAGAGATTGCTTATGTGTGCTGGAACGGGCTGCCACATTTCTAGGAAGGAACCTGGGGGCACATATAGCCTGGTTACTCAATGTTGTCATAGACGTGAATCACATCCTCGTGGTTGCCAAGCACCTGAATGAGATGAGCGGCCTGTTCTAGGTCGGGCTCAGCCAGCTGCACCTTTGAGTTGGGGATGAACTCTAGTGCACAGGACACAGAACACAGGCCCAGGGAGTCCAGCTTCTTCCTCACTTGATGCAGTGAAGAGGCATCACAAATAAACTATGGATAAAGGAAAGTCAGGAGGTGAGGAACCAGGAGGTAATGAGACAAAGCCACACAGGACGTTGCAAAGTCCTGAATGTCAATACTGCAATGGATCACTGGGTTTGAGCTCTTCACTGGTAGAGACATCGTTTTCAATGTTTTGACTCTCATAGTCCTCACTAGAGTTGGCCCTATTCAGTATTCACTTAATAAATGTTTGTAGACGCCGGGTGCAATGGCTTACACCTGTAATCCCAGCACTTTGGGAGGCCGAGGTGGGCAGATCACCTGAGGTCAGGAGTTTGATACCAGCCTGGCCAACATGGTGAAACTGTCTCTACCAAAAATATGAAAATTAGCTGGGCATGGTGGTGTGTGCCTGTAATCCCAGCTACTCAGGAGGCGGAGGCATGAGAATCGCTTGAACCCAGGAGGTGGAGGTTACAGTGAGCCGAGATCACGCCGTTGCACTCCAGCCTGGGCAACAAGAGCAAAACTTCGTCTCAAAAAATAACTAATTAGGCTGGGTGCGGTGGCTCACACCTATAATCCCAGCACTTTGGGAGGCCAAGGCGGGTGGATCACGAGGTCAAGAGATTGAGACCAACCTGGTCAACAAGGTGAAACCCCGTCTCTACTAAAAATACAAAAATTAGCTGGGCATGGTGGTGCGCGCCTGTAGTTCCAGCTACTCGGGAGGCTGAGGCAGGAGAACTGCCTGAACCCAGAAGGCGGAGGTTGTGGTGAGCCGAGATCATGCCATTGTACTCCAGTCTGGGTAACAACAGCCAAACTCCATCTCAAAAAAAACAAAAACAAAAAAAAACAACTAACTAACTAACTAACTAACTAAATGTTTGTACAATATGTGAACTCTTTGTCTCACCTATATACCCTTGGGCACAGGAAGGAAGAATCCAAGAGGCATGGGTAAGGCACCTATCAGGATCCTCCCAGAAGCCCACCAAACACACGTTTTCATGCTTACTTTAAAAATGTTTGTTTCTTCTTCGTCTTCAGTTTCCTGGACATCCTCAGCTCCTGCTTCGATTGCCAGCTCCAGGGCACGCTCTAGGTTCACAGCCTTCTTCTCTCTGTCCTCCACTCCAATCACAATCACCCCCTTTTTGTCAAAAGAGTGAAGAGCTCCTTCAGCCATCGTTCCTCTGACAGGGAAGGAAACAGGCTCACATGAGTGGATGCCTTTAGACACTCAGCTTCCTTAAAGCTCATCATTTTATTGCTATCTCTTTCTCACCCAGCCTATGGGGTACAGACATGGAGCCGATCACTTCCTGAAGGAGAAAATGCAGCTGATGCTGGGTAAGGGAACAGCCCAAGAATATCCCCATAGTCAATTTTCTGCCCTGATTACAGTTTGGAGGAAGCAGATTTTGCTCATCATTTCCTGTGCCATTAAGATGCCAGTCTTGGTGGAGCATTTTTTTTTCATACCGAGTCTCACTCTGTCACCAGGCTGGAATACAGTGGCGCAATCTTGGCTCACTGCAACCTCCACCTCCTGGGTTCAAGCTATTCTCCTGCCTCCTCCTCCTGATTAGCTGGGATTACAGGCATACACCACCATGCCCAGCTAATTTTTGTATTTTTAGTAGAGACAGGGTTTCACCATGTTGGCCATGATGGTCTTGATCTCTTGACCTTGTGATCTGCCCACCTCAGCCTCCCAAAGTACTGGGATTACAGACGGGAACCACCACACCCAGGCCTGGTGGAGCATTTTTAAGACTTGGGCATTAAATGGCTACAGATAGGGATAATAGGACAAAGATCCCCTTCTACACCTGATGAACAAGTCTTTGGATTCCTGTTAGTACAGAATACATACGGGAAAGTCAATTAACTCATTGGACTCTGCTAAGGAAGAAGTGTGCTTAAAACCTGAAACATGGCTAGGCGTGGTGGCTCATGTCTGTAATCCCAGCACTCTGGAAGGCTGAGGTGGGTGGATCACCTTAGGTCAGGAGTGAGACCAGCCTAGCCAACATGGTGAAACTCTGTTGTCTCTACTAAAAATATAAAAGTTAGCTGGGCGTGGCTGTGGGTGCCTATAATCCTAGCTACTTGGGAGGCTGAGGCAGAAGAATTGCTTGAACCCAGGAGGCGGAGTTTGCAGTGAGCCGAGATCGTGCCACCGTACCTCCAGCCTGGATGACAAGAGTGAGACTCCGTCTCAAAGAAAAAGCGCCCTGAAACACTAGCAGAGATCAACAGTACTTCCATTCCCCCCAGACACATACCTACCCATTCTTGTTCAGGATATGTCTAATGTCTGATTGACACTTGGAGCCACTGTTAGATAATGCCTCAATGAGCAAAGAAGAACCACCAGGGCCTCGAGCTTCATACAGCAAATAAATGTCCTTGGTTTTCTGCAGTAAACAACACAAGCACATTTTCCTGTTTCCCAATTCCCTCCCACATGTCAGCCCAGAACCACAAGTACCACAAAACTAATTCCATGGGACAGGCTCTCTAGGCTGGAGCCTGAGCACTTAATCTTTATTTTTGTCCCCACCCTCTAAGAGGAGACCCTAGAACCAAGTTTTGAGGTAACAGGAAGTACTACCCCTAACTTGGAAGGAGTCTGTTTCTTGGGTCCCTGAATAATCCACCAGCCATCTCTCAGCTTGGCTTCCTACCATCCCTAACCAAATGCCACATCTATTCCCCAGCCACTCACACTCAGACTCATCCTCCTACACTCCCATCCTGCTGCAAGAAACCCACCGGTGAAGTTTCAAGGCTCCTACCCCAGGCTGTGAGTATTGCTGTGAAAAATCACACACCTAGGGCTTGTCATAAGAGCTGCTAAAAATAGCATGGTCTCAAAATTCAAACAATTCACGCAGAGTTCTAGGGACTAAACTCTTCTGGACCTTCTGTGCCTCTACTCATCCCTTGTCCATGTATTCGGTCTTCCCCACTCCAAGCACCCTGTCTTGCACCTTTCAAGGAATTCTCAACTGATGACTTCTCCTTTCCTCTTTCACAAAGGAAATAAAGGGCCATTAGGTGGGGGAAATAGTTACTGTCTCCACCACCTTCTCTGTACCATGGCCTACATGAAGGCGGTATGTATAACGGTTAGAGCGCTCTGGAGTCTATCTGGTTTCAAGTCTGTCATTTTCTATGTGACCTGAGTCAAGTCACCTAATCTTTCTGTGCCTCAGTTTCTACACTTATGGTGGTTTTGAGGATTCAATGAGATAGCACTCACAGAGTTTTTATCCATGCTTAACCTGCAGAAAGCGCTCAATAACGATGAGCTATGAAGATAACTGTTACCTCCTCAGAGCCTCCCTACCTGCCCCAGAGAAAGGTGTACCCTCACCTGGACTCTATATCTCTGCCCCTCCCACTGTCTCTATCACCCCGCCCTCTTCCTTTCTACTAGCTTTTCTCCTTTAGAGCTTAAACATCTGAAAAACAAACCTTACTTAACCTAACATAAGGGCTTTCTCCCACAATGCCCCTTCTTTCTACAATACCTCATCTCCCTACAACTTGGCTGAGCTGTCCCAGACTGTATGGCCTTGCATGCTGTCTGTGAGTAGGATTACTCCCAGTCATGCTCCTGGAACCAATGACCAAGGACAGAGAGCCCCCAGAAGCCTCTAGCTTGAGGGTGTCAACTACATTGCTACCCTTCTCTCTGATCTGTTTTTTTTTTTTTTTTTTTGAGATAGAGTCTCGCTCTGTTGCCCAGGTTGGAGTGTAGTGGCGCAATCTCGGCTCACCACAACCTCCACCTCCTGGGTTCGAGCAGTCCTCCACCTCAGCCTCCCATGTAGCTGGGATTACAAGCATGTGCCTCCTCACCAGGCTAATTTTTGTATTTTTAGTAGAGATGGGGTTTTGCCATGTTGGCCAGGCTGGTCTCCAAACTCCTGGCCTCAAATGATCTACCCACCTTGGCCTCCCAAAGTGCTGGGATTACAGGCGTGAGCCACTGCACCCAGCCCTCTCTGATAATTTAAGGTGTGTCTGGTGGCTGTCCAGACATGGGCCCTATAGGGGCTGTGATGAATAACAAGCACGTCAAACAGTACACACCTCCATTTTCAGTGCTGCCTCAATCGTTGACTTGGGCATATGCTTGCTGCGACACACCTCTAAGACATTGGCCAAGTTGCTGTTGAGCTCAGGGTTGGGGCCGCCTTCTGAGATTTAAAAAAAAAAAGTGAGCAAAGACATCTCCTTACAACACAGGAGAAAAAAAGGGATTTCCAGCCCCACAAGCCAAAGGAGTGGCAAATCACCGTTAGCTCTCAGTTACCTTAGCATATCTTATCTAGTGTTTCAATGGAATATGGAGAAGTATTTTCTTATTTGTGTTTTGAGACAAAGTCTTATTCTATTGCCCAGGCTGGAGTGCAGTGGCACAATCTTGGCTCACTGCAACCTCTACCTCCTGGGTTCAAGCAATTCTCCTGCCTCAGCCTCCAAAGTAGCTGGGATTACAGGTGCACACCACCATGCTGGGCTAATTTTTGTATTTTTAGTAGAGATGAAGTTTTGTCACATTGGCTAGGCTGGTCTCAAACTCCTGGCCTCAGGTGATCTACTCGCCTTGGCCTCCCAAAGTGGTAGGAGCCACCACACCTGGCCTGGAGAAGTATTTTGGAAAAGCATTTTCTTTTTTTTGAGATAAAGTCTCACTTTTTCACCCAGGCTGGAGTGCAGTGGCATGATTTCAGCTCACTGCAGCCCCAACCTCAGGGGTTCAAGCGATCCTCCTGCCTCAGTCTCCTAAGTAGCTGGGAACACCGGTGTGCGCCACCACAACCAGGTAATTTTCTTTTTTTTTTTTTTGTAAATGGACATTTTCACCATGTCCCCCAGGCTGGTCTCAAACTCCTAAGTTTATGTGATCTGCCTGCCTAGGGCTCCCAAAGTGGTAGGATTACAGGTATGAGTCACTACGTCTGGCCCGAAATGGCCCTTTTCTTTTTTTGAGACACAGTCTCACTCTCATCCATGCTGGAGTACAGTGGTGTGAGCTCTGCTCACTACAACCTCCCCCTCCCAGGTTCAAGGGATTCTTCTGCCTCAGCCTCCTAAGTAGCTGGGATTACAGGTACCTGCCACCACACCCAGCTAATTTTTGTATTTTTAGTAAAGATAAGGTTTCACCACATTGGCCACATTGGTCTCAAACTCCTGACTTCAAGTGATCCACTCACCTTCGTCTTCCAGAGTGCTGGGATTACAGGCATGAGACACTGTGCCTGGCCAGAACTTTCTAATTCATTGTCTTTATGAATGGTTTTCATTCTGCTAGGTTTCAGCAATCTCCACATTGTATCAGATGAAGAAGGAACATAGATAGTAACAACACTTCCTGGACTCATTACTGCTCTTACTCTACTATTTTGTGCATAATTACTGAAATGTTCACATGACATTGTAATCTGAGGGTAGGGGCTGTGTCTCATCATCTTTGTAGTACCAGTGTCATGCCTGGCACAAAATAAACACAAATAAATTGGCTGAACTTGGGCTGGGTGCAGTGGCTCATGCCTGTAATCCCAGTACTTTGGAAGGCTGAGGTGGGTGGATCATTTGAGGTCATGAGATCGAGACAAGCCTGGCCAACATGGTGAAACTCCATCTCTACTAAAAATACAAAAAAATTGGTTGGGTATAGTTGCTCACACCTGTAATCCCAGCACTTTGGGAGGCCGAGGCGGGCCGATCACGAAGTCAGGAGATCAAGATCATCCTGGCCAACATGGCAAAAATACAAAAAAAATTAGCTGGACATGGTAACAGGCGGTACCTGTAATTCCAGCTACTTAGGTGTCTGGGGCAGGAGAATCACCTGAACCTGGAAGGCAGAGGCTGCAGTCGGCCTAGATCATACCACTACACTCCAGGTAGGATGACAGAGTGAGACTTTGTCTCAAAAAAATAAATAAAAGTTGCTTGAACTGAAGAATTTTGAAGAAAATGAAGCAAACAAATACCAGGCATGAGATGAGGGGGTAAAATGACATTAACTAAATGCCTATTATGTGCCATAAACCATAAACTTCAAGGTGGGTATTATCCTTGTTTCACAGAAACTCAGCAAAGTTAAGCCACTTGTTCAAGGTCATAAGTTAGTCAGTGAACGAAACCAGGTTTTCCTGACTCAAAAGTCCATACTTTTTTTGAGACAGAGTCTTGCTCTGTCACCCAGGCTGGATGGAGTGCAGTGGTGCAATCTTGCTCACTGCAGCCTCCAACTCCTGAGTTCAAACAGTTCTCCTGCCTCAGGCTCCCGAGTAGCTGGCATTACAGGCACCGCCCATCACCATGTCCAGCTAATTTTTTTTGTATTTTTAGTAGAGATGGGGTTTTGCCATGTTGGCCAGGCTGGTCTGGAAATCCCAACCTCAAGTGAACCGCCTGCCTCTGGGCTGGAATTACAGGCCGAGCCACTATGCCCAGCCCAAAGTCCATGCTTTCTACAGAACTTCTCCTTTACTCTTACAGATGTCTGACCCTAAATAGAAAAAAAGCCTCTTCAGGGTGGTGACCTAAGGGAGAAAAGACACTGTTGCAAAACTACCTTCCAAGGACATATGTCTCGGGGAAACTAATGAAGCAAACTAGAGCCTAAACAAGTAATAGCTTCACTCAGTGCCCCTGCCACAACCAATATGCTACTTGAGGCGACTTCAAAGGGGTTGATTTGTCTCTTCAGGAGAGACACACATCTGCCCCGACTCTTAGGACTTGTTTCTATTAAGTACCCGGCTACACTAGGATGAAGTCACTTCTACCATACCGGCTTCTCAAGAGCAGCTCCCTCTCTGACAAACTGGCTACATGCTCAGCGTCTGGAAAGGTGAGTGAGGACCTCCAACATAGGTAGGTGTTGTGAGGATTTATGAAGCGGGCAATGGCGAGTATTGGGGAAGGAAAATAAAGTGAAGGGCCGGAGATCTAGGTGGGCCCAACTCCGAGAGGCAAGCGAGGCTGTAGGCACTGAGAGGGCAGCGGCAGCCAGCGGTGGGTGACCGTCAGGGTCTCACCTTTCACCGCCAGGCGGATGTTCAAAGCAAGTTTGGAGAAGATGCGACTCCTTTCGGCGTCCTTCGGACCCTTGATGTGCCTGACTTTGGACCACTTGTTGTGCCCGGCGGGGACAGCCGCGGTGAGGTGCATCGCCCTGCGCGAAGCGGCGCCCCAGCCCCAGGGCTCTGGCTGGGAGGGCCGGGGGTAGCGCGGAGGAGCCGCCCGGACCCCGGGGCCTCGTGCCAGCAAGTATCGGGCAGAGGCTCTGCTTAGGCTGGAAGCAGCCCAGGCCGCCATCGGTCCCGACCCTGGGCTTCAAGCTGCTAGCAGCAGCGGCCAACGCCGGCCCGTCTCTTCCACCGCAGGAGCAAGTAGATTCGAACGCCGCGGCCGCCTGTCCCAGTCACCTGAGACCCAAAGGCTCGGGCCAGCCCGGGGCAGCTCAACCGCGAGTGGCCCTGCACTGTCCCCGCGGCAGCCGGGAGTGGGGCCCTTGATGGCGTAGCACACTTCCTTTACCGGGTTCGCTCCAAAAACACGTCCCCACCGCCCGCAAAGTCTGTTCCGCGGCTGCACGGTACTCGCTCCTCTTTTGACCTTGCGCAGACCTAATGGTCAAGCTCTCCCGGTTACCTCGAGAGCGCCGGACTTTTATTTTCTCATCGTGATCTAACGGAGAAACATCCGAGTTATGAAACTGACTTTGCTTCCAAATTGCCGCCTATCTGAGCAGGTCCAGAATGACAAATATTTTGTTGTTACAAATAATATGTTGTTCAATTGCCTCTTTTAAATGGCAAATAAACCACTGCCAGAGATGTGAAAATTACCCAAACGTTTAATCTCTCTGAATGTCTCCCCTACCTATAAATAAGGATCTAATATTTACTTTATCAGTGTCAGGTCTCAAAGTCCAGGCCTGGCCATTATAGCCTTGGTGACCCGCATGTACTCATCTGGATGGTCCCCAGGAGCCAGAAAGTCTGAAGTAACCAGATGGCCACAAAGAGAAATGAAACAACTTGTTCCTGCCTCAACTAGTTGCTCTCCCCGCTGCAACCTGCAACCATCATTCCTGCTCAGCCTTGCGAAATTTCCCCCTGGACACTGGGGTTTCTCAGCACCCCCTCCCCTGTAACTATGTAATTTGCCTCACCTTTCCCTCTACTTGCAACCACCCTTCTACTTGCAATAACCCCCACCCTTATGATCATGCCTGTTTGTAATGAATAACCCCTACCCTTGTGACCATGCATTCTGTGATGCCCTCCCCCTCCCTAAAATCAATTACCACCTTTAACTGACCATTTACCCCAACCTAGATAACCAGTCCCCCATTGCCTAACTCCTTTATCAGACTTGGCCCACTTGCCGGCACAAAACCTGCCTGGTGGTCTCTTTACACAAGTGAAGGCCCTAACAATCAATATAGGAAGGTTGAAAACACAAAATGAGCCTTTACGGCTTTAAAGTAATAAAGTTTTATGTAAATAGTCAGAGTGCATTTAAGCCCCTAAATGCAAGAGATGGTTTGGGACAGACTCAAATGAGCCACAGGCCTTTGGGAGAGGGAGAATGATCAGACAAGCCTTTTGGAGCCAAACTCCCCTCTTCATTTTCTCTCTGCTGTCTCCAAAGAGAAAACCAAATCCATTAGAATATGGAGAGAAACAAAGTGGCAGCTACTGAAAAGCTTTGTAGTGACTCCATGCTGGTGAGATTAAGTGGAAAAGGCATGACATATCAGGTAGAGAAGCAGGACAGTGTGAAGTTCAAACCTGTGCCCTCTGAGGTTAGACTGGGTGGCTTCAAACCCTGGTGTTGCATTTTCTAGTGTATCCGTGGACAAGTTCCTTTACTTCCCTGTTTCCGTTTCCTTACCTGTAGAATGGCCTTGTGAGGATTAAATGGGATAATGGAAAAAGGCATAGCGTTAGGCATATCGCTCATGTAAAGAGACTACCAGGCAGGCTTTGTGTGAGCAACATGGCTGTTTATTCACCCGCGTGTGGGCAGGCTGAGTCCAAAAAGAGAGTCAGCAGAGTGAGGTGGAATAGGAGTTGGTTTTATAGGTTCGTGGTAGGCAGTGGAAAGTTACAGAAGTTACAGTTCAGGGTGGTTTTGCAAGCCGGGGGTAGGGGTGTTCTAGGGGGGTGTCACAGGATGCATGGTCCCAAGAGCAGGGGTTATCTGCTACAAACAGGCATGGTCATAAGAGTGGGGGTTATCAGTTGAAAGCAGAAGGAAGGGTGCAGTAAATATAGTTACAGGGGTGAAGGTCTTGAGAAAACCTAATGTCTAGGGGGTAAGCTTTGCAAGGTTGAGCAGAAACAATGGTGGAACGTTGCAGAGGGAGAGCAATCAGTTGAGGCAGGAGCTAGTTGTTTCACTTCTCTTTGTGGCCATCCAGTTACTTCAGACTTTCTGGCTCCTGGAGACCATTAGGAGGTGTATGTGCAGGTCATCAAGGCTATCATGTCCAGGCCTGACACATAGACTTTATATTTTTCATTTCAGAAGAACCCCAATGGGGGTGGGTGTGGTGGCTCACCCCTGTAATCCTATCACTTTGGGAGGCTGAGATGGGCAGATCACTTGAGGTCAGGAGTTTGAAACCAGGCTGGCCAATGTGGTGAAAACCCATCTCTACTAAAAATGCAGAAATTAGCCGGGTGTGGTGGTGCACATAACCCTTTATACATGCTTGTACCTTAGCACTTATCTTTTTTTTTTTTTTTTTTGAGACGGAGTTTCGCTGTTGTTACCCAGACTGGAGTGCAATGGCACAATCTCAGCTCACCGCAACCTCCGTCTCCTGGGTTCAAGCAATTCTCCTGCCTCAGCTTCCCGAGTAGCTGGGACTATAGGCACGCACCACCATGCCCAGCTAATTTTTGTATTTTTAGTAGAGATGGGGTTTCAACTTGTTGACCAGGATGGTCTCAATCTCTTGACCTCGTGATCCACCCACCTCGGCCTCCCAAAGTGCTGGGATTATAGGCGTGAGCCACTATGCCAGCCAGCACTTATCTTTTTTAAAAATATCAAAATGTTTTTATCTGTTTCTACCATAATACTAAATTCTTTGCGAGTAGGACTCTACTTCCGGTGCCCAACACAGTTCACAGTTCTCATTTTTTTTTTTTTTTTGAGATGGACTTTCATTCTTGTTGCCCAGGCTGTAATGAAGTGGTGCATTCTCGGCTCACTGCAACCTCCGCCTCCCAGGTTCAAGTGATTCTCCTGCCCCAGCCACCCAAGTAGCTGGGATTACAGGCATGCACCACCACACCTGGCTAATTTTTCATGTTTTTAGTAGAGATGGGGTTTCTCCATGTTAGTCAGGCTGGTCTTGAACTCCTGACCTCAGATGATCCACCCACCTCGGCCTCCTAAAGTGCTGGGATTGCAGGCATGAGCCACTGTGCCGGGCTACAGTTCTCATTTTAACAAAAAATTAACAGCTTTGACATATTTCACATATCATACAGATCACCAATTCAAAGTGTACAGTGGGTTGTAGAACATTGAGAGCTGTGCACAATTGATTTTACATTTTCATCACCCCCAAAGGAAGTCCTGTACCCATTAGCAGTCACTCCCTATTTTCCCCCAATTCCCGCAGGCCTAGGCAATCACCAACTTATTTCTGTCCCTGTGGGTTTGCCTCTTCTGGACATTTAATGAGTGGACCCATATACTATGTGGCCTTTTATAACTGGCTTCTTTCACTTAGCGTCATGTTTTCAGGATTCTTGAATGTGGTAGCATGTATCAGTATTTAATTTCTATTACCAAATAATATTCCATTGTATGAATATGCCACGTTTTATGTATCCATTCATCAGATGATGGACATGTAGGTTATTTCCACCTTCTATGATGAATAATGAGGCTGTGAACATTCATGTACACATTGCTATGTGGACATAATGTTTTCACCTCTTGGTTATATACCTAGGAGTGGAATTGCCTGGTCATGTCTTAACTTATATGTTTAACCTTTTGAGGGATTTCCAGACTGTCTTCTAAAATGATTGCATCATTTTACATTCCCACCAGCAATATATGATTCCCATTCTTTTTTTCTGCTTTGTTACCCAGGATGGAGTCCAGTGGCACAATCATAGCAGACTGCAGCAAATAACTGGGCCCACGAAATCCTCCCATCTCAGCCTTCCAAATAGCTGAGATTACAGGCATGAGCCACTGGCTAAATTTGTTATTCTTTTTGACTGTAGCTATCACCATCCTTGTGGGTGGAGAAGTGTTATCTCACTGTGGTTTTGATTGCATTTCCTTAATGACTACTAATGGTAAGCATCTTTTCATGTGTGTATCAGTCATTCATATATAGTATTACTTTTTGCAATTTAAAAATATAGTTTATTCAGGGCAGGCACGGTGGCTTGCACCTGTAATCCCAGCACTTTGGGAGGCTGAGGCAGACAGATCACGAGGTCAGGAGATCAAGATCATCCTGGCTAACACAGTGAAATCCCAACTCTATTAAAAATACAAAAAATTAGCCAGGTATGGTGGCATGCACCTGTAGTCTCAGCCACTCAGGAGGCTGAGGCAGGAGAATCAGTTGAAACTGGGAGGTGTAATTCAAGAAAGAGATGTTCAGAAAATATTTAAAAAAAGAACCTGGGAGGTGGAGGTTGCAGTGAGCTGAGATTGCACCACTGCACTTCAGCCTGGGTAACAAAGTGAGACTCTGTCTCAAAAACAAACAAATATATATATATATATATGTAATAAACTATATATATAAACTTATGAACATTATCATTATAGATAAAATAAACTATATATATATAGTTTATTATGTTTACTTTGAGAAGCAAAAATAAAATTAATGGAATTTGTAATCAGAAATATGTATAGAGGCTAAAACAAGGTTTGAGACTGCCCTAGTCCAATCAGCTTAAGACCAGCAGGGGCAAACCTATAGTCCCACATAGTAAGGCTTATCAACAAGGGAGACTGCACACCAGAGGAATGGTGAAGTATCTCATCAAAGAAAAAGATGGTTATAGGATTATGGGGAAGGGTAGAGGCTAGGTAAAAAATTAGAGTTAGGCTCAAAGAAACACAGACCTATGTGAAAGGGGGATCAAGGTCAGCTGGACTACAAAGGGGACTCAGGGGATCAGTCGCCCTGGAAAGTACAAAGTCAAGATAAACGTGAAATGTTGTGTTCAGAAATCCCTGCTCTGAAGCACTATACCTGGGCTGGAAATCAAGGCTGCTTCTTGATGTCAAAGTGACTCAGCTCCCCCAAGCCATACTGTAAGGCTTCATTCTCACAAATACAATTGCAAACAGCAAACTTTGTCAGCCTATGATTTTAGAGAACAAAGTTTCTCGATGACTTTTTTTTTAAAAAGTAGTCACTCAGGGAGTTGTTATGACACTTTATGTTGCCAAAAAGAAAGTTGTGGTGTGTGCTTTGTAGAGATATTATATCCTGTCAACTGTGCAGCTGGTTTTATCTGTCTGTGTATCTATGATGAATGGCAGGGCAGATTTTCACTTTCTCAGTCTGATTTAATAGTCACCTTTCAAGATAAATTCATAGTTGAACAATCTCTAGAGGCCTGGTTGTCAATGTTAGATACATTAAGCTCCTCTTCAAAAGTTGAGCTTGTTTAACTTCCTTATTCTTTGTTCTTAGGGTCAACTTCCTTGTACTGCCCTGCCGCCCCAGTTACCCACCCTGTAAGCAATCTCTCCTGCCAATCCTAATCTCTAGCCCAGGTCTATTCCTTATGTGGAAAGAGTCCCCTTTGCCCTTGGCTTCCTGCTCAGTAACCTCTGTGACCATTCTTTTTGCCTTTGCAGTGCCCAGACATGCCTTGTATTTGTACTTGTATTATAAATTACCATCCCCACCAGAACTCCCCTTCCTGCTTCTGTAACCCACACCCCTGCTTTATTTGAAATAGCCAATCAGGATCAGCTTAGATTGTGTGGTCTGACTCCAACCAATGGAGGCAAGACACAGAAGTAGGGACTGAGTGCGTTAGGGATAAAAACCCCTTCCCTCCTTTGTTCAGAGTGCTCTTGCAGTAGCCAGAAGTGTGAGCCGCACCCTTCTGCAGAAATAAATTTGCCTTGCTGAGAAATCCTTTGAGTGCTTATTCTTTTTGCAACTCTGAGCTCTTATTTCCAACACTAGGATCCCTGAAATCACTTAACAATGAACCTTGGAAGCTAAAGACTGGCTAAAAGTATCATTCCATTAGGTTTGACCATGTATTGTCCAGTACTAAAAGCCCTCAATGAATGAGATTATATTAGTTATTACTCCAGATACTTAGCCAATTTGCTGGTATAGCTGAGACATAACTATTCACTACTTCATTTCCTCTTCCAGGATACACAGGAAGACTACATTTCTTGACCTTCCTTGGAGTTGGCACATAGGGGCAGAAGTGAGTAAGCCACTTCCAAGCCCAACCTGAAAAATGTACTCCCTCCCACCCCCCATAAGCAACCTGGAGGTCACACATTTATTATTTTATCTTATTTGAGATGGAGCCTCACTCTGTTGCCCAGGCTGGAGTACAGTGGTGTGACCTCAGCTCTCTGCAACCTCCACCTCCTGGATTCAAGCTGTTCTCCTGCCTCAGCCTCCCAAGTAGCTGGGACAACAGGTGTGCACCACTATGCCTGGCTAATTTTTGTATTTTTCACAGAGACGGGGTTTCACCATGTTGGCCAGGCTCATCTTGAACTCCTGATCTCAAGCGATCTGCCCCCCTCGGCCTCTCAAAGTGCTGGAATTAGAGAGGCAAGCCACTGCACCCGGCCCAGCGGACTTTGTGTAGGCAAAAAATAAGTTTTTGTAGTGCTTAGTTTCTGAGATTTGGGGGTTTGTTGCTGCAGCATAGCCTCGCCTTATTACCGTCTCAGTTTTCTCCTTAAAAACCAGAAAGCAGGACTCACATATTTCCCAGAAAATACACACTTTCAGACCACATAGCAGCACAATTCCAACAGGAGCAGCAGGTACTCATAAAATTTAAATTCTCAAGGGCACACACTTCCTTTCAAAGATCCACTGCCACTGGCTTCATGTCAGCTGACACAATGGCAGGTACTTACCGAATATTGGTTCACTGAACCAGTTTGCCTTTCTTCTCTTTCTTGAAAGTGGCCCAACATGAACAAAGAATAAAAATAAAAATAAATGAGGAGACTATTTCATCCAGGACACACGGCATTTGAATAGCAGTGGAACAAGAACTCCTTCCCCATCCTACCATGTTGGGGCATAGGTTTGGGAAATTAGCAGGGACTTGAACATTCCTAGTCAGCTATCAGAACCTGTCCAAACCCAAAAGATCTGGGAGTTCTTTGTCCTCCCTTCACAGCCAATGAATTACTGAATGCTGATAAGTGCATCCCTCTTCGCTTGTGATCTGTCCTCTCCGTCCTTGCCACTGCTACTGCTGCTGCCACCACAACCTTAGTTCAGGATTTGATTTTCTCTCATGCTGTTACAAGAAGGCAGAAGTGCTTTATCATTGCCTATCCTCCTAAGATGCAATTCTGATGACTCCTCTCTGTGTATGTCTTCCAGGCTTATGCATGAGCGTAATATCTAAAATTTCTGCAAAGCACAAGACTTTCCCTGCTCTAGCTCCTGTATACCCCTCTAGCTATACTTCCCATTATTCACCCCACCTCAACCTGCAATTCTCTGAATATGACCATACTTTCTTGCCTGTACAGATTTGTATATGGGTGTTCTCTCTGCCTTAAATGACTTTCCCTATTCCCAGAGAACTCCTACTCAGCCTTCAATACCCAGCTTAGGCATCCATCTCAAGTAGTTTTCGTTGACCCCATCTGGCTCCCATCCAGGCAAAGGTGATTGCCTCCTCCCTGGAGGTGATGCTTAAACACATCCACTATTGCAAAACAATGCAAGTATTTGGATTTTTTGGCTTTGTTTTTTAAAAATTAATTTGGGTGAGGGGACAGGGATAAAAGACTACCAGTTGGGTACAGTGCACACTGCTCAGATGATGGCTGCCCCAAAATCTCAGAAATCACTATTAAAAAACTTTCCGCCAGGCGCGGTGGCTCAAGCCTGTAATCCCAGCACTTTGGGAGGCCGAGACGGGTGGATCACGAGGTTAAGAGATCGAGACCATTCTGGTCAACATGGTGAAACCCCGTCTCTACTAAAAATACAAAAAATTAGCTGGGCATGGTGGCACGTGACTGTAATCCCAGCTACTCGGGAGGTTGAGGCAGAAGAATTGCCTGAACCCAGGAGGCGGAGGTTGCGATGAGCCGAGATCACGCCATTGCACTCCAGCCTGGGTAACAAGAGCGAAACTCCGTCTCAAAAAAAAAAAAAAAAACTTTCCATGTAACCAAAAACCACTTGTTCCCCCTAAACTATTGAAATAAATGCAAAAAAAAAAAAAGTCTTAGATCCCAGTCTGGCTAAAAATAATTTTTTTAAATAAAAATTACTGATTGATTGAGATAGGGTCTTGCTGTGTTGCCAAGGCTGCTCTTGAACTCCTGTCCTCAAGTGATCCTCCCCAACATCTCAGCCTCCCCAACACCTCAGCTGGGATCACAGGCCACTGCACCTGGCCACAAGTATTTATGTGGATGTCTCCTCTGATAAACTGCAACCAACTTGAGGGCCATGGCCCCTGGCATAGAGGTGGTGCTTCACTGAAAAACAAGTGAATGACCAAACAGGATATAAAAGGTGATGAGTAGATTGCCTGGCTTTGGCTGGGGCACGGCCACTGTCTATGGAACATGACCACAGTGACAAAATGGGAAGAACTGAATTCGTCATAAAAAGAAATTCAGTCAATCTATACATGTTCAAGTTTTATTACAAAGTATGATGGGCAGAAAATACGGTACTTCTTATACAGGAGGAAACAGAATGAAAGGGTGAAAATTAGGTTTAATTTATTTAGGAAACAAGAAATAGAAAGTTGTAGATATAACACTCCACTTTCAGGTGCCTTTGAAGTAGCCTTCAATGGAGATTCCCCATAGTTGTTTCACAGCACAGTGTTAAAATTTTATTACAAGCCCTGTGTACAATCAGTCCTGTGAAAATATTTATAAAAGAAAAATATTACAGTACAGTTCTGCAAGGGGCAGCTTCCTTTCCACCTGACCATGGATGCCACAAAACCTATAATATAGAGGGAAAGTTTAAATATATAACAAGAATGGAAGTTCAGACATACTAGGCTAACAGGTACAGAAATGGATGAGTTAGAGCTTAACATTTCAGGGCAAGAAATCTCCATTTTCTACATAGAAGTTTATACAATCATGCTACAAATTCACTCTGGGTGGGGTGGGGAGGGAAGGTCACTGACAAGAGGGGTCATAAAATACATAGGAACCAAAGCAAGTGATTCAGACTCAACTAAAGCAATTTAAAGCTTCAGCTCAACAATTTTCATAACACATGATTTACCACATCAACCCAAGGTGAGAACATTTCTTTGAAAATCTTAGTAGATATCACAAGTTCATATTTACTGGGTTGTCCCAAAGGTGGGTGCCTATAAACTTTCCGGCTGTTACACAGACTGTCAACATCTTTCTTCTCAAGTTCAAACTTTCTTTAGCTTATTTGCTTCTGGTTGGATATACCAGTCCAAGCCTTTTTCAGAAGGCACCTGCATGTTTCCATATTTTAAAAATGACTCCAGAAAGTAGCCTGAGAGGACCTGGTCCATCTCATGTGGCCCCATATTTGACTTTGACCATTAGCAGCAGTGACACCGTGGGAGGGGGAAAGGGTGAAGGTGGGTGAGTGGGCAAGGCTCTGCAACACAAGACACTCTCAGGAGCTGGCCCAGCCAGGGCCTGGCCCAGGGTTCACAGTGACTTTGCTCTGCTCTGCTCTCTTCCCTGGGAAAACCAATCTAAGTATCAAGTATGAAACTTCTTTGTCCTGGTGTATACACAGTAAAGGGAAAAGTCTGCTTTGAGGTTTCTACTTCAATGCACTCCCCTACCCCAAGCCAGGAATGGAAGGGGCTGCCATATTCTCCAAGTGGGAAAGGTAGAGGGACAGTTCTGGGCTGCCCTCCCACATGTGGTAAACCCTGCAGCTCCTATGTGTCTTCATGGCCCAGGAATTAAAGGCCCAGGTGGCAGCAGGGAGAAACAGTGGAAAGGCAAGGGGAAGAGAAGAGAGAAAAAGGAGGGAGAAAGTCTGTATACCTGTCATAACCCGTGCTTCTCCTGCTTTGTACAAACCCACAATCAAGAGCCACGGTCTGGAACAATCATGGGACCCCCAATGCCTGTAAGTTTTTTACCACCAAACATCACCTATGGCTGCTCTGAGCTGTCAACTTGTTCTCACAGTTACCTAGCATCATGGATACCCAATTTATGGCCCAGGAAGGCTGACCCAGGTTAAGGGCAGTCTCATTCCACAGCCATGCAATGGACAGTGTGAATGTTTCCCTACCCCAGACCTCCACTGACCTCTAATACTTCCTCCTTTGATTTAAAGAAAACACTTTGATTTTCTACTGCATCCTATATCACCTCCTAAAATTTTGGCCCTAACTGTCATCAAAACCTTGTAGGTGTCAGGCGTGGTGGCTCAGGCCTATAATCCCAGCACTTCAAGAGGCTGAGGCAGGCGGATCATAAGGTCAGGAGATTAAGACCATCCTGGCTAACATGGTGAAACCCCGTCTCTACTAAAAAATACAAAAAATTAGCTGGGCATAGTGGCACACGCCTGTAGTCCCAGCTACTCAGGAGGCTGAGGCAGGAGAATCGCCTGAACCTGGGAGGCGGAGGTTGCAGTGAGCCAAACTGCACCACTGCATTCCAGCCTGCATGACAGAGCAAGACTCTGTCTCAAAAACAAAACAAAACAAAAAAAACCTTATAGGATTCTGAATTTTGTTTCTTCCTGAATCTTAGCCAGTTCGCTTAGAACCAATCCTGGATTTGTAAGAAATGTTTGCCTAGTTATTAAATATCTTCCCTCTTCAAGTACTAACCTTGGAGGCTAGTTCCTTCTCTGGAAGAAGAGGGTTCCAATGCTCCTGAGCGTAAAAAATTCAGGTCCTTAATGACGTGGACCCATTCTCCAGTAATTTATTTAGCACCTCCACCCTTCCTCAGAGCAGATGACGACAATACAGACAGCTGTGCTTAAGGCTGCCAAGAGCAAAAGGGCCATCACCAGCTGGGCCACAGCCTGCAGATGTGGGCTTCCTGGTAAAGTCCTAGCAGCTGCTCCTCCAGCAGTCAGGGATAGCAGATTCAGTCTCCTCCCCAGTCTCACTGGCTGTCAATTTGGGAATCTCAACAAATTACATAGAGTTGTTTTTGCAACTGTAACAGATCTGTGCTTTCTGGAGCATGGCTGGCTTACAGGCTTTCTAAATCCTGAGACTGTAGAAAAATCCTCTCCTCAGTCATGGGTCATCGGGTAAGAGACCTGGGATTCAGAAGACCAGCAACTCATCAACTGTGAGTATGTGTGTGCTTGCTTAGGGAGGTGTAGTCTCCCCTGGGTCCCCCATGGGATTCAGGGAAAGACTGCAATGCAGAACCTGAGGAAGGATGACAGGGTCTGGGTGTCCACAGGGCAAAGGAAACCTCAAAAGTTGTTGGTTTCCAGAGTAAATAGCTATCTTATGCAAATATATTCTAATTATTATTATTTTTTAAGTTGTTGTTTCTGAGTTCCAGCTGACAAATTTCACCATACAGACCAGGCTTGGTGCAGATCAGCAAAGGAATCTTAAAATTCAGTGGACCTAAGCCCTGCTCAGCAGACCAGCCTTTTCTACACTGACTTCCATTTCAGACCCTTCTCCATAGGAAGGAACTGATGGCCTCCTAAACAAGCAGCCATCAGCTTGGCCTTGCTACCCTTGAGAGAAGGACCCAGTAACTGTTATCAAACACACTGAAAAGCAGAGGAGAGTTCTAACCAAGAACTGCTTGCTTTACATCTCCAAGCAGTGCAATGCAAATCCAGTAGCAGATGCAGGAGAGTCAACTGCAAGCACATGGCCAGCCAGAGTCCCAAAATCAGAACCACAAAGTAAAAGGATAGAAGGGGAAATACTCTGACTCAAAAGGAGCCTTCTTCTTTGGGACAGTCCCTGTATGGTAAAGCAAAGAGCTGGACTTTCAGCAAACAATGATATCTCCTTCTGAAAAGGTAGACTTAATCAACAAAGCTTAAGGGCCCAGAAGAACAAAGTACACTGTTTTACTTCTCAAGCAGGTGAGAGCCAAAGAGAACAAAACCATCGTCCTTTAGGCCTGCTACTCTGCTAATCTCAGATGAGCAATTCAGAGGGACTTAAAAACCTTCAGTTACTGAGTACAGCCCAAGGAGCCAGGCAACTTTCCCCCCAGAGCATGCCTCAAACTCTGCCTGCTCCAAGGACTCTTCCAACAATGGAATCACACACAGGCCCCCTCCATGGAACTCATTCATGTAACGAAAAGACGCCTGCGGCCTGCAAGTCAACAGACAACCACAGGTTACAAGTCCAATACTGCTCAGAACCTAAACTGGCGGAGAGAAGGGTTGACAGGTGTGGGTAGAGCTCTTAACTGGCTGACCCTGGGGGCAATAATTCCTTTTCTTTCTTTTTTGCTCCTTAGCATTACTCACCACAGTATAACTCTTTTTTGCTATCTATCCACTTGACAGCCTGGGATTGCCACAGCCAATCAGTCCATCTCTCATGTGAGGTCTTGTTCAGGGTTGGAAGTACAGACTGGATGCCTCTCGGGAAACTCTCACCTCAGAGCACTCAATCCAAAGAGCACCCTATATAATATATGGCCAGGCACAGTACACTCAACCAACAGAAACACCGAAGTTCAACTCAGAGAATTTCAACTCATTCTTGTCGATCATTAAAAAGACACTAAGTGGAATGGCCTGGGGCTTATATTTGAAGTAAAAAACAGACTCTGAAAGTAGGTATGGAAATATGCTTGACTTTTTCAGCTTCCTGAAAGGATTCCCCTCAAGTCAGGTACCCTGAGAGCCTGTCTCTCTCACCTCTACCATGCTCCCAGTGGGAACCAATGGGGCTGGACAGTGGTGCTTTAGGGTAAACAGAGGTTTCCTACGTCTGTTTAGAAGCCCAGAATGCCCTTAAGAAGAGCCAGGCTAAGAAAGATGTTGAGGAGTCAGTTGACTTCAGAGCACCAAGGTGGTTTGGCCTCCCGGTCAGGTATGTACTACTCAGGCAGTGACTCAAGAAGGCAAACTGCTCATGGGGCCAGGGGCCCAGTACCAGCTCCAGGCACTGAGGGAAGAGAAGAAGGGGCACATAGGAAGGACTATAAGACAAATAAATGAACCAGGAAGAGTAAAATTCTTTTCATAAAAAAATTAGCCTGATAAATATACAAAGTTGAAATTTGTTAAACACACTGATACTAGGAGAAAGGACAAACTGTTATTTGTTCCCACGTAAGTGCTAACAGGAACATGGACATGGAAACATGCGTTGCTGCCTTGGGCAGCAAACAGACAGAGACACCTGGGCAGAGGAATAGACACAGCCAGTACATGAACTGCTCCTCAACGCAACGCCTGACAAACAAATATACACACATTTTTAATTGAGGAACAAAACAAGAAGAGGAAAGAAGAGAAAATTTTAAAATTCAGCCCTGGGCTGAGGAGGTGCCACACAGCACTGAGTCTGCCACAGAGGGCGATGGGGTGACTGGCCAGGAACTCCTAGAGCAGCTTCTGGTAACAGTGGGTGCAAAGCAACGAAAGACATACTGGCCACTGGAAACATGTTTCTTCTTACTTTGGGGTGGGGCAGAGGCAGGAAACACACAAGGCCCTGCCTCGTGCGCACAGCGCCACCAACATTACACTCTGAGTATCTCCAGGCAGTTGTTGTAGCAGATGGCGATCCAGTCGGGCTGAGTTGATGCCCACTGCACATTGTTGATCTCTCCTTCAGCTGTGTAGGCCAGGATAGGGTCCTCAATTGCTCGGGGCATTTGCTGGATGTCCCAGATGAGAGCCTGGTGGTCATCCGCTAGAGACAAAGAAAGCCAGCAAGCAAGGTCACAACTGAGGCAATGGGGATGATGATCCCTGTATTTCAGGAGCAAGTCACAGTTTACAAAGCAGTTGATCACCAAAACTCCGTGATGGAGGTTCTATTTTAAACCCCCATTTTATCGATGAAGAAAACAAGATTCAGAAATGTTAAGGCACTTGTCCCAAATCACACAGCTGTGCAGCCAGTGAGCAGCAGAGCCAGAACTCAAGTCTAGGCCTTGACTCCATCTTGCAGGTGTCCCTAGGCTCTATCCACTGCACTAATGAGCCCTTCTCACCTGGGTCAGGTATCAGGAGTGGACCAGGGGATACAAAACATGTCATTTGCAGCCACTTAAAATACTGGAGTTATAAGATCCTTCTCTGATCATTCAATATAATGAGAAGGTTTCTTCCCATTTATACTTCAATGAGGTATTATAGAGAAAGAAGACTGATAAAGTAGTGTTGATATGTGCTGTTAAAAAATTATTTCCTGGCTAGGCCTGGTGGCTCACACCTGTAATCCCAGGACTTTGGGAGGCTGAGGCAGGTGGACCACCTGGGGCCAGGAGTGGCCAACATGGTGAAACCCCGTCTCTACTAAAAAATACAAAAAATTAGCTGGGCATGGTGGTGCGTGCCAGTAATCCCAGCTACTCAGGAGGCTGAGGCAGGAGAACTGCCTGAACCCAGGATGCAGAGGTTGCGGTGAGCTGAGATTGCGCCATTGCACTCCAGCCTGGGTAACAAGAGTGAAACTCTGTCTCAAAAAAAAAAAAAAATATATATATATACAAATAAACCAGGCATGGTGGTGCACACCTGTAATCCCAGTTACTCAGGTGGCTGAGAATCACTTAAACGGGAGGCAGAGATTGCAGTGAGCCAAGATCATGTCATTGTACTCAAGTCTGTGCGACAGAGTAAGACTCCACCTCAAAAAATAAAATAAAATAAATAAATAAAGCCAAGAAAATATCTATGGGAAACACCAGAAAGAAGACAATCACCTTAAATATATAAAAGCACGTGAAAAATGACTAGAAGGAAATATATCAAAATGAGAATGGTGGCAATACTAAGATGGCAAGGTTATGTTTACTTTTCTCTAGTTCTGTAATATGTTCATATTACTTTTTGTTTGTTTGTTTGAGATAGAGTCTTGTTCTGTCACCCTGGCTGGAGTGCAATAGTGTGATCTTGGCTCACTGTAACCAATGCCTCCTGGGGTCTTCTGCCTCAGCCGCCTAAGTAGCTGAGAATTCAGGCGCACCAGCACAACCAGCTAATTTTTGTGTTTTTAGTAGAGACAGGTTTTACCATGTTGACCAGGCTGAACCTGAACTCGTGACCTCAGATGATCCACCTGCCTCAGCCTTCTAAAGTGCTGGGATTACGGGCATGAGTCACCGCACCCAGCTTACTTTTATAATCAAAATAGTAAGTTAATTTTAAAAAAAGCAAAAAAAAGGCAATGGTCTTCAGAGCTGCAGTTTACCCTGACTCTGCCATGCATTCTGATGAAAGCTGGTCTTAGATACACAGGGAATCTGAATAAACTAAGCCTTAATAGGCCAGGCTAATTATGGGCAATACTGGTATTCTACCGAGACCGCATAGTCTGGGCCAGGTGCAAGATCCCTCTCCCAGGGACAGTGTATACCAAAAGATCAGGGTATTGCCCTCTAAAGCACTAAGTTCCTTATCCTCAGTGCTCAACTGAGCACACTTGAACAACAGCTCCTTTGGTTGAAGGGGCTCAAGGCAGGTGCAACACACTAAATGACAGAGAGCAGGGCAAAGGCAGCAGTCAGGAGCAGAAAATGCAGCTTCTAAGGGGCCAGTCCTGCTTTCCATGAATGTTAGATGATACCTTTTCTGTTTCTTCCATCCCTCCCTGTCCACACCCCTAAAAAAATAAGAGGGCAATAACGAAGAAGACAGACCATAACCTGAGGTATATAAGGCGGCAGCATGCCCCCAACTGCTCTTCAAGAAGACATACAGGCATGAGCCCAGGGCCAAAATCAGGAGAAGCTTCATGTCTTCAAAATAATGCTCAAATGGCAGAAAAACACCAAAGTACATTGCTTCTTGGGCTTCATAACAAACCTTGTCCATTATAAGGATACTGATTAGCGAGGAGAAGAAAAATGCACACTAAAAAAGTTAAGGAGCAAAACACCACAAAGCTCGGACAGAATCCCATCGTGCAAAAGGAAGATGTATAGAATTGTCTTTAGGGGTATGGATGTACACTCCCGAATGTATACCAAAAGGGTCCGGAAGGAGACACATGAACTGTTGATAGAGGTCATCTATGCAGAGTGGGATGGAGGCAGAAATAATATAGGAAGGAGAAACAATGACTTTCACCTTAAACATGCCTCTGTACTGTTTTCATTTTAAATAACAGATTGGCATTCATTATAGAATAAAAGTGCACTGACAACCAGCATATTTTTCTTTTCTTTTTAAAAAATTTATGTTAGAGGCAGGGTCTTGCTTGGTTGCCCAGGCTGGAGTGCAGTGGCACAATCATAGCTCACTATAACCTCAAACTCCTGGGCTCAAGGGATCCTCTCACCTCAGCCTCTAAGTAGCTGAGACTACAGGAATTCACTACCACACCCAGATAATTTTTTAACTTTTTGTAAAGAGGTCTCACTATACTGCTCAGGCTGATCTCAAACTCCTGGCCTCATGCAATCCTCCCACCTCAGCCTCCTAAAATGCTACAATTACAGGCCTGAGATGCTATGCCTGGCCCAACATATTTTTAAGAGGTATTGCTTTTATTTATTTATTTATTTGTTTGGAGATGGAGTCTTGCTCTGTCACCCCGGCTGGAGGGCAGTGGCATAATCTCAGGTCACTGCAACCTCCACCTCCTGGGTTCAAGCAGTTCTCCTGCCTCAGCTTCCCAAGTAGCTTGGACTACAGGTGTGTGCTGCCATGCCCAGCTAATTATTTTTGTATTTTTAGTAGAGACAGGGTTTCACTATGCTTGTCAGGCTGGTCACAAACTCCTGACTTCAGGTGACCCACCCACCTCAGCCTCCCAAAGTGCTGGGATTACAGGTGTGAGCCACTGTGCCCAGTGAGTAAGGGGTACTCTCTTTGGTCTGGGAAATAGTGAAATGAAAACCACAAGTCACACACTGCAACCAGGGAAAGTTCTGTGGGGCCCTCCAATGTATTCAGGGCTCACTGTGGGTTTGTTATAGTGATACGTGAAAGGTCCCATGGATATGTTGATCTTCACAGTCCCAAAGATTCTGTTACATCCACGAGGGATACCTCCTTTTCCTCATATTCCTGGAATTGAGTCCTCTGTGCCACCCAGATTTTAGGGGGACAGTACAAGGCACAGGCCTATAACTGACACATGATGTAAATCATATATGGAAGATGCTCTGATGTCCATGAGGGTACAAGATCGTCTAAAAATCTGTACTGCTTGAATTTCACAAGTGTGGAGAGGCTCTGACTAGTCACTTTTTATAAACCTCTTAAGACTGTCCTTAGAAAACAGTAACAATTACAATTCTAAGGAGCCAAGAGGACAGATTTCCTCCATCCCTGCCAGATTCCTCTCCCCTACTGTGATTACCTGCAGTGCAGATGTGACAGGATGAATGTGGGGCCCAAGCAATGCCATTGACACATGCTCGATGGTTGTTTAACCTGGCGACAGGTGTGCAGGGAACCCGGACATCTAGAATCACCACCTGCGGAAATAACAAAGTAAAAGGCCTGGGATCATCAGAGTTTCACAGAAAGAAGCAAAAAATACTATCCACACACAAAAAATCTTTTTAGGCATAACTCTTCTATTTGTGGATTTAAAGAACACTAGAGGTCTGGGTGCAGTGGCTCACACCAGTAATCCCTGCACTTTGGGAGGCTGAGGTGGGTGAATCACAAGGTCAGGAGTTTGAGACCAGCCTAAGCAACATGGTAAAACCCCATCTCTACTAAAAATACAGATAGAGACTATAAACTTGTGTCCTTTGTCATCTTTTCCCTTAATTCTGTGGAAATCCTGTCTCTCTTCTTATTTTATTTCTTATTTATTTATTTATTTATTTATTTTTGAGATGGAGTCTCACACTGTTGTCCTGGCTGGAGTGCAGTGATGTGATCCTGGCTCACTGCAACCTCTGCCTCCCGGGTTCAAGCAATTCTGCCTCAGCCTCCTGAGTAGCTTGGATTACAGGCGCACACCACCACACCCAGCTTTTTTTTTTTTTTTTTTTTTTTGTATTTTTAGTAGAGACAGGGTTTCACCAAGTTGGTAACACTGGTCTCGAACTCTTGATCTCATGATCCGCTTGCCTGGGCCTCCTAAAGTGCTGGAATTATAGACATGAGCCACTGTGACCAGCCAAAAATTAAAAGTTCTTAAAAGAAATTCTTGTTCCAGATCAGGCTTTCTCAGTCCCGAGATTTCTGTCATTTTGTGTAGGATATACTTTGCTGGGGGACTGTCCTGGGCACTGCAGGATATTTAGCAGCCTCCCTGGTCTCCACCCACTAGATGCTATAGTACCACCTGCCTCTCCAGAGTTGTGACCACCAAAAAATGCCTCTAGATATTCTCAAAGATACTCTGGGGGCCGAACTGCTCCAGTTGAGAACCATCCTTCCAGATATACTAAGCAGTGCTGGAGCTTGGCAGGGTCCATGGTAGTCTGAGGGGAGTGCTCACCTCCATTCCATCCATGGCCATGGTGGCCAGGTAGTTAGGGTCCTGCTTGTTCCAGCAGAGGCGAAGCAGTGGGTGATGCTGCGGGTCTTCGTAAATGATGGTGCTGTGTTCTAGATGGCGGAGGTCAAACATCCGCACAGAGCCATCAGCACCCACAGAGGCAAACATGTCCCTGCCACCCCCGGCCCGGCTAAATGCAATATCATAGACCTGTTGGTGAACAAGAAGCTCCAGTCAGATTTAGATCCATTACCTCTTCTTCCTATAGGAGAAAAATCTGCCACGTCGAGGTCACCTAAACCTAGTTCATGACAGAGAAGCAGGTAAATGAAGCCCAAACAGTGTTTGTGAGTACTAAAACCTGACAGCTCTAATATCAGTGGTTTCCCAAAGATGAAAGATCATTCTGCTATAGAAACTGGCTGGCTTCTTCCCACATTCCTGCTTTCCAAGTCTTCTTCCTCCAACCCCTGTGATAAAACAAAAGACACATACCTTGCTGATCAACAGAGCAGTGGCTGTCTTCTGCCACACTAAAAGAATGAGACACTTATTTCCTGGGCCTTGGTGGCTTTCACTTGTGCACAATGAGAGGCAGGTCTACGAGCACATTAAGGCCTAGGTCATCAATCATAGAGGTGACAGCAACCCTCCGGTGGCTACTTAATAACAGCCAGACTGATTCTACTGTGAAACCTGGACCTGAGACTCATTTGCAAGAAAGACATAACAGAAATTTTGAGTCATGGGAGGCCTAGATGTTCTTGTATTCACAAATAGGTTTAGTAGCACCCTCTTGTCCTAGGATATGTTGTTTCTTCTTGTAGTTGGTTTGTGGTCCTAAGTGAATCAATTTAAGTTTTGAATCAGTTTTCTGCATTTATTATTTGCTGCAAACATTGCAAATCACTAATGTCTATAGGGAAACAGAGGCAGAAAGCAATGGAGAGCTTCAGAGAAAGAAAGGATGAAGGCCGGGCGCAGTGGCTCACAGCTGTAATCCCTGTACTTTGGGAGGCTGAGGTGGGTGGATCATGAGGTCAAGAGATCAAGACCACTTGGATAAAATGGTGAAACCCCATCTCTACTAAAAATACAAAAAAATTAGCTGGGCCAGTAGCCGGCACCTGTAATCCTAGCTACTCGGGAGGCTGAGGCAGAATTGTTTGAACCCAGGAGGCAGAGGTTGCAGTGAGCCGAGATCAATTGTGCCACTGCACTCCAGCCTGGGACAGAGAGAGACTCGATCTCAAAAAAAAAAAAAAAGAGAGGATGAAGAGAGCCAGAGCCAGAGCCAGACAAGTAGAAAAAGTAGAGAGAAACAGAAACAGACAAACTAATGCCAAACAAAACTCACCTTCTGGAGATAATGACAGCTGACTTCTGGGGAGACATGAGTAGAATTTCTCACTAAATATTGCAGCTCCAGTGTTGAGGTTCTGCCTACTGAGTGACACTGCCAAATAAGCATCTATTGCTATTTAACCTCATGAATTCCGTTTTTTCTGGCTATAAAGGAATTATGCTTCTCTTTCTATGGCAGGAAGTAGAAGTGGTTCAGAAGGAACTGGGCCAGTCATCAACAAGGAGACACCCAGGTACAGCTACTTTAAGGCAGAGGCGTGTTTATCAATATGTATACCCTCTAATGCCAGCTCTTGATAACCCTCAGGGACAGAGATGCCACAGGTGCCATGGGCAATGTGGCTGAGTATGTAATGCTCGCTTGGCTCTAAGTGACTGCCCCTTCAGTGCTCCACCAGCATGGTTCATTGGGAGACAAGGGATGGTGACAACACCCAAGTACACTAAACCCTCTTCTACAATGATCTCCCAGGTAACAATAAGAGTCTCCAATTGCAGGCACCTGTAATCCCAGCTACTTGGGAGGCTGAGGCAGGAGAATCAATTGGGCCCAGGAGGTGGAGGTTGTAGTGAGCAGAGATTGTACCACTGTACTACTCCAGCCTGGGTGACAAGAGCAAAACTCCATCTCAAAAAAAAAAAAATGCAATCACAAATAGCTCTCCTCAGTTTTCCCAATGAACACAGAAACATCACCATCAAAGGAAAATATATTCCATTGCCAACAGTAATAAAAGTATAAAGATTAAGTGAACATACTAGAACTTCATAAAACATTTATAGAGAAAAATGGATAATTAGGTTTGTCTCTCAGAAAATTTTTTCTCTTCCTGTCTCCCTTCCTTTCTCCCCAAATCTAATCTGTTTCAAGGTAAGTAATACCCTAAGGTTATTTTTTTAATCACATCAGTTCCCAATTCCTCTACAAGAGACTTTATTATTTTAAAAAAGCATCTCTGGCATGAACCATGACAGACCTTAAAATAAGTCATTTACATTAGCCAAAAAAATAAGTCATTTACATTAGCCAAATTACAATAGTGTTGTCTTCCCGTTTTTGACGCATTACTATTGTCAATTTATATAAGAAGATGTTGTGTTACGATTTTCTACATAAAGTGCAGAACAATGAGAAAACAATCTGACCTCTTCCTGTGCTAAAGGCACAGGAAGCATTTGAGGAAAGACAAATGGAAAAGCATCATTACCTCTTTGTCATGGGCGATCAGCTGGGTCTTCACGTGGCCAGACACAAGATTCACTCGCCCTAACACCTGCCCTGTCTCCAGCCCCCAGATGGTGCACGTCGTATCAATGCTTGAGGTACCTGCAAACAACCAGTGCGAGTCAGGGCTAAGAGGAGCAAGGTTCTCAGGCAAGCTTCCCTCCTGTGTCTACTCATCGCTAGGCCCAGAAAGCAACATACCATAAAGACTACAGAATACAATGTGGGGGGTACCTGCAGAGCCACAGAGTCAAATACTCAATCCTCACTGTAGGATCATAGATTCTAAGTGGAGAATTCAATCCTCACCATAGGACCTTAGATTCTAAGTGGAGAGACAAGAGCTACACACATGTAAAGCTCGCCCACATGGAAGGAGTTAATACATAACCACATTCTACACCAAGCCTACTTCTCACTTGGCCTTGTTGTAGGATGATACAAGGACCAGTGTGACATCTGAGAAAATGTATTTTGGCTTCTTCCAGCTGAAATACTACTCCCTAACTCTCTTACCTAAAAGATAAGGATCCACCTCATTCCAGTCAAAGGAGGTCAGGGGAGCACAGAAATCAGAGTTCTTATTATTGTTTAGCAAACACTCCAGCCTGGTCTCTGTTTCACCAACCTGAAGGAACAAGAAATTTTTTTTAATTAGCCAGTCTTATCCTCATAAAAAGTCTTTTTAAAAATCCCTGTTTAGAGAATATCCTAACAAACATATAACGTGAGGGAAAACATTTTTATCAAAAACAGTAACAAACCCAGGACTCCCTGAATGCTACTTTTCCCCATACTTTCTCCTCTGCCCAGCTTTGTTTTCTACATTTTCATCCCTGCATCTTCCTAGGGGAGAGGTCTTCTCACCTTGCCCAACCTGGAATCTCTGCACACGTGGACTAAGGCCGCACTCATGCTACAGAGAACGCTGCTGCTGCTGAGCTCAGGTGAGGGCGGAGGGAATCCTCCAAAATCCACTCACACATTTCATCAGAATCGATGCCCTGGTATTTGTTACTTTACTCAAAAACATCTTGGCTGCAAACAGAATATGAGTTCCCAAGTATTCCCACCTCCACCGAAGGCTGTCATTGTCACATTGGGTTGACTGAACTGACTGCAGTCAGCAGCCAGACTTCATGGACTCTTGACTTGATTTACTAGAAAATCTGCTGAGCCAAACAAGGTCAGTCTACTCAGGCTTCGCTTATTTCTCCCGTGCAGCAATGACACTCGATGCCTCCCACTGGTCTGTTCTGTGACTCCTCACTGCTAACAGCTGAGGCTGAGAAAGCCCACTTGTCTGGCTGCTAATAAAGCATCCGCTTACCCTCCACACACGGAGATAGTCGCCGCTTGTTGCCAGTAGGTCTGGATAGACGCCTTTTGTGTCAGGGATCCACATGAGCTTTGTGGTGGGATATGGGTGGTCAAAGGTGTTTCTGCAAATAAACTCCGAACTCTCTTCATCTAAACCAACAAGCTGAACCTGTAACATGCCAAAGTTGAGACATATAAGCATTTGTGAGCAGTATAGCAAATACATTAAATCCCTGGTAAGTGACAGTCTTTTTTTTTTTTTCCGAGACGGAGTTTCGCTCTTGTTACCCAGGCTGGAGTACAATGGTGCAGTCTTGGCTCATCGCAACCTCCACCTCCTGGGTTCAGGCAATTCTCCTGTCTCAGCCTCCTGAGTAACTGGGATTATAGGCACGTGCCACCATGCCCAGCTAATTTTTTGTATTTTTAGTAGAGACGGAGTTTCATCATGTGGACCAGGATGGTCTCGTTCTCTTGACCTCGTGATCCACCCGCCTCGGCCTCCCAAAGTGCTGGGATTACAGGCTTGAGCCACCGTGCCCGGCCCAGTCTTTTTTTTTTTTAAGACAAGTTCTTCCTCTGTTGCCCAGGCTGGAGTGCAGTGGTGCGACCACAACTCAATGCCGCCTCCATCTGCCAGACTCAAGTGATCCTTTCACCTCAGCCTCTGAAGTAGCTGGGATTAGAGACATGCACCACCATGCACAGCTAATTTTGTTCATGTTTTGTAGAGACAAGGTCTCACATGTTGCCCAGGCTGGTCTTGAACTCCTGGGCTCAAGTGATCCTCCCACCTCAGCCTCCCAAAGTGCTGGGATTACAGACATGAGCCACCGTGCCTAGCCAGTGACATGAGTCTTGACACTATTATACTAAACTGCAGAATCAAAAATGATTGCCTTGAGAGGGCATCTAGTCCAACCATCCCCTGGCAGACAAGGAGGCCCAGACTCAAAGGGGTGGTTACACTCAACACTACAAAGCCAGTAGGAGACAGAGACAAGATTTGATTACAGGTTTTCTGACTCAAATCCTGCATTCTTGACTCCAACTACGTAAGTGCACTATCTGCCAAGCCAACTACACCTTTCCCTGAAACCCCTGAGGTCTTTGAAAATGAATAGGGATGGTTTTGGCTGCCGAAATGACTTAAGTGCTGAGGATATTTGGTGCTCAGGGGCCAGAAATATGAAATACCCCATGCAATTTCATTAAACAAACTAATGCTCACTTAAAAATCCAATGGTACATAACTGTCACCAACTCCAAACTCAACAATGGCTCATTATGTTTACACATAAAGGTATGTCGAATGACCGCTCAAGAGCCCAAACCACTGTGACAGGAAAAAAAGTAGGCACCATTGATGAGAAAGTCCCACCTAGTTCTGATCACTTTTTCTTAGAGTCAATTTTAGCTCACCATTAACTTCTAGTCTTTACTGTCAAACTCAACCTGGCTCAAAGGGAAATTTGTTTATGAACATTTGTTTATGTACATTTGTTATGTAACATGTTATGTACATTTGTTTATGAACTTCCAACTGGAAGATGGAATGGTGAGTGTATTTGGTAAAGATCCACAATAAGGGGAAAAGCACTAACCAGGCAACACAAAACAGAATTTCTTCTACTCATCTTTCTGACCTAACTCAATCTTAGACACCAGTATCTTCCAGACTTCCCCCCACCCCGCTCAAACAAAGTTAGATATAGCTGCATATAATAAAACGCACACAAGTGTACAGTTAGGTGAGTTGTGGCAAATGCACAATTGTATAACCTCCACAGTAAGATTTTCCATTAACCCAAAAAGTTCTCCATGGCTCCTCTGTAGTCAACCCTTTATACCTACCCCAAATAGCCACTGATCTATGGTTTTGTCTCTCTGTAATACCATTTAAATAGAATCAGATGGTCTTGAGTCTTCACTCAGTACACTGCTCTTGAGATTCATCCATGTTCTTGTGTGTATCAGTAGTTGCTTCTTTTCTTACTGCCAAATAATACTGCATTATTTGCAATGTGGCATTCTACAATTTTGGTTTTGTTTTTGAGAGAGGGTCTCAATCTGTTGCACAGGCCGGAGTGCAGTGGCATAATCATGGTTCACTGCAGGCTCAACCTCCTGGGCTTAAGCAACCCTCCAGCTTTAGCTTCCTGAGTGGTTGGGCCCAGAGGCATGTGCCACCACACCCAGCTAATTTCTAAATTTTCTGCAGAAATGGAGTCTCCTTATGTTGCCCAGGCTGGTCTCAAACTTCTGAACTCAAGCGATCCTCCTGGCTTGGCCTGCTAAAGCACTGGGATTACGTATGTGAGCCACCAGGCCAAGCCAATTTTTTATGTCCTAGTTAAGAAAGTTTTGCCTAATCCCAGGTCCCAAATATTTTTTCCTATGTTTTCTTTTAAAAGTTTTCTAGTTTTAGGCTTCATATTTAGGTCTTGAGTCATTTCAAGTTAAATTTTTATATGGTATAAGATATAAATCAAGGTTTGCTTTTTTTGTTGTTTTGTTTTGAGATGGAGTTTCACTCTTGCTGCCCAGGCTGGAGTGCAATGGCTCACTGCAACCTCCTAGATTCAAGCAATTCTCCTACCTCAGCCTCCTGAGCTGAGACTACAAGCATGTGCTACTGTGCCCGGCTAATTTTTTTTCTATTTTTAGTAGAAATGGGGTTTCACCATTTTGGTCAGTATGGTCTCGAACTCCTGACCTCAGTTGATAAACCTGCCTCAGCCTCCCAAAGTGCTAGGATTACAGGTGTGAGCCACTGACCCTGACCAAGGTTTGCTTTTTTACATATGAATATCTGACTATACCAGCATCATTAGTTGAGAAGACATTCTTTCTCCTATGAATTACTTTGACCCCATTATTGAAAACCAGCTGACCATGTATTTATTCATCTATTTCTGGACTTTATTCTGTTACATTATCTATCTGCCTACCTGTTTGCCAGTAGGCAAACTGTCTTGACTGTAGTAGATTTCTAGTAAGTTCTAAAATCAGATAGTGAGTTCTTCAACTTTGTTCTTCTTTTTCAAAATTGTTTTGCTATTCTATACTTTCCCTTTTCCATGTACATTATATAATCAGCTTGTCAAATTTTACAAAAAGCCTGCTGAGATTCTGATTGGGATTGTGTTGAATCTATAGATCAGTTTGGGGAGAACTGACATCGTACAATACTAAGTCTTCCAATCCATAAACAAAGCACATTTCTCCATTAATTTAGGCTTTTTTTTTTTTTTTTTGAGATAGTGTCTTTCTCTAGCACCCACGTTGGAGTGCAGTGGCGTGATGTTAGCTCACTGCAACCTCTGCCTTCCAGATTCAAGTGACTCTCACGCCTCTGCTGGGACTACAGGTGTGCACTACCATGCCCAGGTAATTTTTCTATTTTTAGTAAAGATGGGGTTTTGCCATTTTGGCCAGGCTAGTCTCTAACTCCTGGCCTCAAGTGATCTGCCTGTCTTGACCTCCCACAGTGCTGGGATTACAAGTGTGAACCACCATGCCTGGCTGCCTTAATTTCTTTCAGCAATGTTTTAAAGTTTGCAGTGTATTTCTTATGATTCTTTCATTAATTTTATTTCTTTTTTCTTTTGCTGATACTGAGTCTCGCTCTGTCACCTCAGCTGGAGTGCAATGGCATGATCTCCATTTACTGCAACCTCCGTCTCCCAGGTTTAAGAGATTCTCCTGCCTCAGCCTCCCATATAGCTGGAATTACAGGCATGCACTACCACACCTGGCTATTTTTTTTTGTATTTTTTAGTTGAGACAGAGTTTCACTATGTTGGCTAGGCTGGTCTCAAACTCCTGACCTCAAGTGATCCGCGCACTTTAGCCTCCCAAAGTGCTGGGATTGCTGGCATGAGCCACTGCACCTGGCCCATTAATTTTATTTCTACTTAAGTTTTATGCTATTATAAATGAAATTGTGTTTTATTTTTTTAAAAAATTTTTTAGAAAGGGAGGAAAGGAGGAAGGGAGGGAGGAAGGAAGGGAGGGAGGGAGGGAGGGAGGGAGGGAGAGAAGGGAAGGAAGGAAATCAAGCAATGAGAGAGACATTGCCAAACTGGATCTAGAGGTCTACAAGTTGATTTCTTTTTTTTCTTTTTTTGAGAGAGGGAAAGAAAAAAAAAAAAGGAGTGAAGGAGAGGAAGAAGGAGGAAGAAAAAGGAGAGAGAACAGATATGTTGCTTTATTCTAAAAAAAATGGGTATTAATAATGGCCAATCAATGTTTCATTTAAACCTATGAGTAGGTGTGATGTGGTATTGACAAGAATGTATATTTAAAGTGGAGAGCTCTATAAATATTTATTGAGTTTACTTGTTCCGGATCTGCGTTCGAGTCCTGGATATCCTTATTAATTTTCTGTCTCATTGAGTCTAAGTCTGTATGCATCTGGGTGTTAGGAACGTTAGCTCTTGTTGTTGCACTGATCCTTTTACCACTATATCTTTGTTGCTTTAAAATCTATTTTATCAGATACGAGAATTGCAACTCCTGCTTTTTGTTTATTTATTTATTTTTGCTCTCCATTTGGTTGGTAAATCTTTCTCCATCCCTTTGTTTTGAGTCTTTGTGTATCCTTGCATGTGAAACAGGTCTGGATGTAACATGCCGTTAGGTTTTGGCTGTATCTTTTGATTGGGGGATTTAGTCGATTTAAATTTAGGATTACTGCTATTTGATGTTAACTGGCTGTTTTATCCATTCATTGATGTAAATTCTTCTTTATGTTGATGCTCTTTACTTTTTGGTATATTTTTAGAAAGGCTAATACTGGTTGTTTCTTTCTATGTGTAATGCTTCTTTCAGAAGCTCTTGTAAAGCAGGCCTGGTGGTAATAAAATCTCTGAGTACTTGCTTGTTCATAAAAGATTTTATTTTTCCTTCAGTTGTGAAGCTTAGTTTGGCTGGATATGAAATTCTGGGCTGAAAGTTCTGTTCTTTAAGGATGTTTAATATTGGCCCCCACTCTCTTCTGGCTTGTAGAGTTTCTGCTGAGAGATCTGCTGTAAGTCTGATAGGCTTGCCTTTGTGGGTAACCTGACCTTTCTCTCTGGCTGCCCTTATTATTTTCTCCTTCGTTTCAACCCTGGTGAATCTAACGATTATGTGCCTTGGGGTTGCTCTTCTTGAGGAATATCTTTG